CGATCCACCCGCCTTGGCCTCCCAGAGTGCTAGGATTACAGGCGTGAGCTACCGCGCCCGGCCAGGACTACAAGTTTTAAAAGGTTACGACCTTCTAAAAGATCATCTTTTTCCACCTGGTGCTACTGCGTGGGAGGGAGATGCCCCCTGACATCTGTAGCACTGGCCTGCAGGGTTAATTTGCACTGATTAGGAATGAATGAGCCAAGGCAAAGCAAATGCTGGGAAGAATAAGAGCCTCCCAGGAAAAGAGGACCAGAGAACCTCACCAAGAAGAAGAGAAGAACGAAGTGCCCTCTGGAATGTAGTCCTGGAACACAGGAAATCAGAAACTCCCTGGTTATAGCAATAATAGCCATAATCGCAAGAGACCAACAATCCACACGTCCCCAACCCTGTTCACTTATGTATATTCCTTCAGACCACTCATCTATTTCTCTTCCTGGCAAAGGAGCAGCAGAGCTTATACTAGACTAGTATCAGTATTATTAAAACGCAACCCCTAGGGAGCTTTGTTTTTACATATGCCAAGACAGCTTGCCTTAACTCCAAAGCACACAAACAAATACAAGTCGTCTGACCTATGTGTGACCCACATATGAGAACAAATAACAAAAAGGAAAATTTTGTTTAATAAAGGTATAGTAAAAAGATGCTAGTCTGCCTGCCCCGCACGCTGCCCCCAAATTAAATCTATACAGGAATGACTGCATAGAAATAAATGAATTGTTTTATATTGTGTAGGCATATTTAAACATAAGGATAACCTTTAAACTCCAAAAAATCCAAAATTCTAGCCCACGATTGTTTTAATTAAATGTGACAGATAATGGATATTATTTGGCTGAAACTAAATCCTTGATTTGGGGTTTAACAGTGGAAAGACAAACTCTGGTCAGGTTCTATATTTAACTTGATTTCAAGAGTAACTACAGGTAACTATAGAGAATGCTTGTTTACATAAGCAAGTTGTACTTAAAAGCTTTGCTCGCTAGTTCGGGATATTTGGAATTCGTATTTAACCAAAACTACCAGCAAACAAATAGTCCTTGATTGACACTTTTAACAAGAGGAGAATTCTGTACTGCTGTTTTCTTTAATACAACATATGGTCCATAGCACAGTGCTACTGATGTTTCCAAAAGACCCCCATGGACGCAGTACTGCCCAAATCCACAGCCAAAGCAGCCTATGCAAAACCCTGTGGTATCTGCATTAATAGCCCCCCAAATTTTTAGATATCTTTACCCCAGTATACACGGACAGAGTGGAGATGTTGAAGGAGTCTGGATCACTGTGTGTGTTTATGTATTTGGAGGTAAATTCTTATAAATGCAACCCCTTTTGCATAACGAAGACAGTGATGAGACAGTAATTCTGTGAACCACAATGACCAGGAAGTATGGGGCGCATTGACTGACAGTTGCTTAGACCTCTGCAAATGTTGGGGACAGGGTATGGCTTCTCTTTATAAATCCATAGCTCCATGCCTGGATCTTGAATGATGTTTAATAAATGCTTGTGGAGCTGAACGCATGATTCAGACCAGCGTGGAGAAAATAGTCAAGAGGCAGGAAACACCTTTTCCTAACCTTTCCTTTAGCTTGCTCTCGGCAATAACAAACGAGTCTTCCGTCCCTGAAGGTGTTCACACGAAAGCTGAAGAGCTACTGACAGAGATGCCCATGACCTAGCACTGCCAACAGGGTCCTGTCTATACCTTAAGTTCTGTGATCTGGTGCTCATACTTGATTGCTGTCTCAGATAAAATCTCTTCACAACAAATGAATGTCATTTCAGAGAAATTTCAGTTTAACCAGCATATACTAAGCCCAAGAAAGGATGATCTAATTTAGGCAATACATAATGTGACAAAATTCCATCAGGACACACCCGAACACAGGAAGTGCAGCCTAATGGCGTGGGTTCTGTGCAGCAGTGGTGGTGGGGGTGAGACTGGAGGACAGGAAGGGAGAGGGTCTACAGCAGAAGAATCTTTTCTCCCCTAATACTGAGAACCCGTTTCCTCCAGGGTTACTCAGTTGCTACCCACAGGGACCACGGAGGACAACAGATACCCAGGTCCCCAGACGGCCCGAGAATGGCTCTGAGCTAATGTACAAAGTCCATCATCCGCAGCTCAGAGAAAAGCAAGGGAGCTTTGGGGACTTCTCCTTGTGCAAAAAAGCAGCCAGGCACGCAGACACCAGACACGGTGCATTAGCAGTTGACTAATGAGGCTGTGTCTTTCACCAGGAGGGAGGATGGGGGGACTCCTGGGGATTCTCCTGCTCCTGCTTTTTCTAGGTAATGAAGACAATCAACAAAGCCTCCTGCAGCTCTGTGGTCCTAGCCTGCTCCCTGGGGATATGGGGGGTGGGGGGTGTTGAGGACACTGTTTTCAGTCGATACATAATGCCCAGTACATACATGCTCCTGGGACAGAGGCCTGCTTCAGAAAAGGTCATGGGAATTGTACAGTCTTGTACTGATAGCAAATGAAAGTTGGAAGGAACCTTGAAGATGATGCAGCTCAAGCCCACATTTGCACAGAGGAGGCAACCCGCACTCAAAGAGGAAAGCAAAGCAACTTACTGGAGCTGGACTCAAGACTTCTGACCCTGACTCTGGTAACAAGCAGGAGCTGGGAGCTGATGGTGCAGCCCAATGTCCTGGGTTCAAATTCTGGACTTTACTGTTGCTTAGCTGTGTAACCATGAGCAAGCTACATAACCACCTGGTGCCTCAGTTTCCTTATCTGTAAAATGAGAGTTTTATTCCTACCTCACATCAAACATAAAAAATTCACTCAAAGTGGATCATAAACCTACATATAGATCTGAAACTATAAAACTCTTAGAAGAAAACATATGCATAAATTTTCATGACCTTGAGTTAGGCAATGATTTCTTAAATATGACACTAAAAGCACAAATGATACAAGTGAAAGGGGCGGCCTTGCAAAACTAACAGGAAAATACCCAATTCCACAATTTCCCCAGTAACAGTTAAAGATCAATCCCATGAGTTCTCTCACTAATGGGCACCCTGCAGGAGTTCTATTTTGCACAACTTCTGAAAAGCGTTGAATGGATGGAAAAGAGATGTAAATCTCTCTTACCAAATTTTTTTTGAGAATCTGCTTTTACAGAGTTCCTGAGTAAACAGCAGGAGAATGAGCTCCAAGCCTCAACCATATCTCTGGGACAGAGTCATATGTCCTGTGATAATCCCTTCTCCAGAGAAAGTCAGGAAATCAAGTCTTGGACACTGACATCCTTTGGGTTTTGTTATCTACCTGCTGCTGCTGCTGCTTTTGTTACCAACTGACAGCCATTGCAATATTTTTTTCCTTCTCTTCATCCCCCTTAAAATCAGCAAGCCACTTGGCCTCATTGCTGGCACACCCCCTTCTCTTTCTTTGGGATGCCACACCCACGCCCTCTCTCTCTCTCTCTCTCTCTCTCCTCTAAGAAGGATAAAATAAACGTTTTTGTAGTGAGCTGAGATGCTTTGAAGGGTTAATGAATAAAAAGGTATAATGCAATTATAGTTGCTAGGGAACTTTAATAAACGCTATTTGCTTCTGTACAAAGCTTGCGGTTAGCAATTGTTAGAATTCAGGGCCTGATCGCCCTACGCGAAGTATGTCAAGGGTTCAACTTATGATCGATGTGTAACTGAAAGAATGTTCTGTGTTTAATCTATAACTTAGATTGTGCTTTACTTCAATGATTGTAATCTGTCTTTGGGCACCAGAGATCTGTGAGAACAGCCAGATCTCAGGACTCTGTGTCATTGAAATATTAATTGTACGTTCTACCTTTGTTTCCTTTGTTTTAGAGTACCTGTTCTATGGCACGTAGCCCCCCTCAAATTAGTATAAAATTCCTGTAGAAGCAAAAGACTGGTGCCACTCTCTGTACTGCTTTTATGCGGGCAGAAGTGGTCGCTGGCCAGCTAATAAAGACTCTCAATTTGGCTCCATTAAATTCTCTCGTGGTCTGTTCGCGCCCTCCACACTACAACAGTTTTCACTTTTGTATCTTCATTTCTGCATGAAAAATCTTTCTCCACCCGCGCAGTGAGCACCTACTAGCCTTTCCACGCTAACACTGTGTACTTCCCAATTCCCCTCATTTGTAATTCTTCTGAAGGTTATCAGAAGAAGTACAATTAAAGTTCTTTTTCCTTCACCTTTCCACAGTATGTCTCCCCTCTGTTCTGTAGTAGGATGGCTTTACTACTACTTTTACTTTATAGAGATTTAAAACTTTTGCTCTGTTCTGCTCCGTACCCCTAAGACTTTGTGTAAAGCCACTAACTTTAATGTGTCTTGGCTATTCTTTGAATGCTTCCCCATGACTGCTATCTCCCACCAGCCCTGCCTTAGCTCATGGGAAACAAAACCAATTAGTTCCCCATTACCTGGCCTTCAGGAGCAGGGGTGACCAAGAGCCATGCACCCAGGGAAGTGTGTTCTATGGGACCCTCAAGTGCAGGAGGTGAACCTTGCAAAGGGAAAATTCACTTTCACAGAGCAAGTCTCCCCTATGCTTTCAGCCCTCCAAGTCCAGAGTCACTGTGACTCAGCAGAATCTGAGTCTAAAGGACTGTAGTTGTCTGTATCCGGCCCCTTTTCGTGCCCAGGCCCGAAGGGCGTGCGCAACACACACCCTCACCCCATCGGAAACTTCCTCCTTTTATCCCTAGGTAGTCTCAGGGCAGACTGGGCAGATGGGCTTGTCTCCCCCGACCCCTTACACACACACACACACACACACACACACACACACACACACACACACACACACACCCCTCAAGGGACTTTTCTTGACTTCCGCCCGCGCGTCATGGGGGGAGACGGGGGAGTCTCCTCCAGACTTCCTTCCGGTGACTGCACCCTTGGCGTCCTCAGCCCAGCGCTCCAGGGTCCAGGCGGCAGGCGCCGCCCTTGCTGGCTGCCCAGCTCCAGTGGGCCGGGCCAGGTAGGATATAAAGGCTCGGGTGCTTTGCGAGCAGCACTTGGGACTCCTCCCGGGTTGCAGCCCGCGCGGCACAGCCCCGTACTTTGCCCAGGCCAGGGTCGCCCCGGCAACCACCAGCCCAGCCAATCAGCGCCCCGGATTGCGTCAGAGCCATGGCTGGTGAGTGCCCGGAGCGCTTGCGACTCCCGAACCTTGGCTCCTCTGGAGCTCTGGACGAGGCAATAGGGGCTTGGCCCTGAGTTTTTTCCCTTGACTCAAAACCGAAAAAGTGAAGAGATGAGGGTCCTAGGAGGGGCCTTGACCAGACTCCGGGATACGGGGAGCGTGTTTCTACCCTGGAGTCTCGGAACCTCCCCCACCCCACCCTCGCAAACTCTGATGGTCATTAAGGAGAGACTTGACCTTGAAAGCAGAAATTCCCTCCAAAACAGGGGTCTGAAACTGACCATCGAAAGCCAGATCTGACCCACTGCCCATACCTCTTTTGACCTAATAGTATTTAAACATTTTGAAATAAGTTGCTAACATTTAAAATAAAAATAGGTGATTTCACTTAAAAATGTGGATTCCCAGCTTCTGGAGGAAAACTGGAAGATCTGGCGATTTGTGGGCTGGAGCTGACGAAGCTGCTGCCTTTAGTTTGATAAAGAACAGACCCCAGTGCAGACTGCCTGGCCCAGCAGACATTTTCCACTGTGGCCCTTGGTTTAGGCAAACCTGACCTGGTATTGAGTCCATTTCAGTGACAAAGCCTGCCTATCCACCGTCAACCTGGGGAACCTGGAGGCCACTCCAGCTCTATCTGATGCATAAATGACCAGCTGAGCTCTTTCCCAGAGGGCATCACCAAGATCGGACGGTGCTAAGACTTAGAAAGGGGCGGGGGGGACGGCAAAACTCTTCCTTTTTGTAATTTTCTTCCCTCTGAACCTCGTTCTGCCTCTGAAAACACACGTGCACACACAGAATCTCATCTTACTAGGTGAGTGGAGGAAGAGATTGCTCTTGGCAGTTGACAAACTACAATTGTCAGAATCTCTGAGAAAAGGGCCGCACTGGGGATTGGAAGCCCACCCTGAGGTGCTGGCAGAGATAGCAGGGAAGGGATTTTGACCGCTGATGAGGCTTCCTGTTTGCATGCTAGCTGCTGTTTTCCTTTACTTCATTCTTCAGCTGCCTTGAGGCACAAGCACACCCCCCCCAATACTAGAGCAAGAACTATTTTCTGACTTTGCAATCCTACAGAATGTTCTGTATTTATGTGTAGCTTAAACACAAAAAAGGGAGGTGGTAATGAGGGAAAATGGGAAGATTTGGGTCTTGTATAACTAGTTTTAGTCTTACCCAGCTAACCAAATCTTGAGATTAACCGAAGCATCCCGGGCATTTGTTTACAGCTAACAGGTGTGTCTGGCTGGCACACCGGTTCCTTTGAGGATTCAGGTGACAGCAGAGGGCCAAAGCAGAATGCACGAAACTGATAGGAGGGCTTGCCCTTGTTATTTTCCTAGTAGGTTTTTCTTGATTGCTTATTCTCCCTCCCAAAAAGATCATGTGGGTATAAATCTTACTGCGAAACGTATCTAGACATACTCCACATTAAAACGGTGAACCATGATCCCTTTCTTTCCCTGTTAGTTTTATCTTTTTTGTCATTAAGTTCTCCTGTGTTGGTCATCAGTGAAACCATGCAGTTGACAGTTTAATTTTAAAGGTTAGTAAGAACTCTTGGTTTCAGATTGGCCTGAGGTTGAAGGCAGAGAATAATAGGAATGTTGGAGCAATAGGTGAGGACAGAGGTCACCTCCCAGGGGACAGTCTAGAGACTTTGGCCACCAGAATTTAGTCTTCATGAAGACAAAGGTTTGTGTGTATTTTGTATAGTAATGTATCCTAAGTGCCCGGCACATAGTACGTACTCAGGAAATAGTTGTGGAAAAACTGGGAGAATTGGTTAGTGAGAACATTAGCATTTCAGGGGGAAAAAGAAAAGTTGGCTGGTGCGGACTTGAACGGAAATGAAAAGAAAGGATGTGGAAAGAACAAGGGCTTTCAAAGACACAGAGAAGTGATAAACTGGGGGCATATTTCACAGGGACTGAGATCTGAAAGTGAACCAGTGCAGAGAGACGTTAACAAAGATGTGCGGAGGTGTGTTAGCTGTGTTCGCTTCAATGACATATACCCATCTAATGACATGTGTGACAAGCAGAAATGCAAGTTAAACTGGGGGTACTGACAATCAGCCCATTCGTCTTTCAAGAATCAGCTCAAGGCTGGCATGGTGGCTCACGCCTGTAATCCTAGCACTCTGGGAGGCCGAGGCAGGAGAATAGCTCGAGGTCTGGAGTTTGAGACCAGCCTCAACAAGAGTGAGACCCCGTCTCTACTAAAAATAGAAAGAAATGATCTGGACAACTAAAAATATATAGAAAAAATTGTAGTCCCAGCTACTCGGGAGGCTGAGGCAGTAGGATCGCTTGAGGCCAGGAGTTTGAGGTTGCTGTGAGCTAGGCTGACGTCATGGCACTGTAGCCCGGGCAACACAGTGAGACTCTATCTCAAAAAAAAAAAAAAAAAAAAGAATCAGTTCAAATGGCAGCTCCTCAGAAGGGCCTTCCTAATCAGCCAGCCCTGAAGCTACCAGTTTTCTTCTATGAAACATTGCCCGTTACCTCTCCTATCAAACTAACGGCATTGTACCCTGAAGAGTTTCTTTGTGTATGTGTCTTATTGCCTCTCTTAGGGTAAATTCTGAAAAAGTCTAACTCCTCCCAGGTGACCAGGTCATGTTACTTAGCTAGTTAAGTGGCAGGAAGGGGAAATGAACCCTCCAAGTTCAGAAAACTTTATTTTGTCCATGAAAAGTGATGTGGAAACTAGTGACAGAAGATTATTACTTTTGGGTAGTAAGTCTTCTCCTGATTTACCTTTTCCCTCTGACAAATAAGCACGAATATTCTTTTAATTGTAAATGAATATTCTGTTAATTGCCTATTCAGAACCTTTGACCATTTTTCTATTGAGTTGATTTTAGGAATCTATTCTAAGTACTGCCCTTCTGTTGGTTATATTTGTTGCAAATATGCTTGTTTGTGTCTTGCCTTATCTTAACATTTTTTTTTTTTGAGACAGAGTCTCACTCTGTTGCCTGGGCTAGAGTGCCGTGGCATGGCGTCAGGCTAGCTCACAGCAACCTCAAACTCCTGGGTTCAAGCAATCCTACTACCTCAGCCTCCCGAGTAGCTGGGACTACAGGCATGTACTACCATGCCCGGCTGATTTTTTCTATATATATATTTTTAGTTGTCCAGATAATTTCTTTCTATTTTTTAGTAGAGACGGCGTCTCCCACTTGCTCAGGCTCATCTCGAACTCCTGACCTTGAGTGATCCACCTGCCTCGGCCTCCCAGAGTGCTAGGATCACAGGGGTGAGCCACCGGCCTGGCCGTATCTTAACATTTTTAACGTTGGAGCATGCCTATAGCTATTTGATGGTGAGCTTGAAAGAGCAAGAGATGGATATCGTAGACTTGCTAATTTTCTGTGAAGTGCCTCTATTGTCTTACTACTTAGGAAATGCTTATAAATATTGATGAGAAGTCAAAAGACTGAAAACTGTCAAAAGCAGCATTCAGTAAACATTGATAAGACTGATGCCAAGGTAAATCACAAAGAAAATGCATTCCAGCCTTGAAGGTAAATTTTTTAAAAAATGCACGTCAGAGCTTAATATGCTCACATTTCTCTCAATTGTGTTAAATCCATATGATAAGAAAAGGGTAGGAATTTGTTGAGGCAGTCTCAGGAATTCCTTTTCCCTTCTCCAGGCCATCTGAAATATTAATATTTTAAAACTATTCCAGCTTCACCACTTACTGACTGTGCAAACTTGGACAACTTGCTGAACTTTTCTGTGCCTCAGTTTTCTTGTCTGTAACATGGGGATACTAATTGTATTTACCTCATAGGATTGTGTCTTAGACCATTTTGTGCTACTATAACAATACCTGGGACTGGGTAATTTATAATACAGAGAAACTTACTTCTCACAGTTCTGGAGGCTGGAAAGTCCAAGATCAAAGCGCTGGCAGGTTTGATTGTCTGGTAAGAGCTGCATCTTCTGGAGGGGAGAAACACTGTTTCCTCTCTGTGGTGGAAGGTAAAGACAGAAAAAAGGCAAATGGGCCAAGTGCCTCTTCCATAAGGGCATTAAACTCATGAAGGAGGGAGGAGCCCTCATGGCCTAATCACTTCTTAAAGGCTCCATCTCTTACTACTATCACATTGGCAACACCTGAATTTTGGAAGGAAAACATTCGAAACATCAGGGGGTTGTTGTGACAAAGGAAAAAGAATGTAAATCTCCTGGAGCAGTGCCTCCACACTTAGTAAGTACCCATTAAATACTGTTTTTGCAAACAAAGCATGCTTGTTCTAACAACTTTATTAATACAAAAGAGCCACTGTAGCAGGCCAGGTGCAGGGGCTCATGCCTGTAATACTAGCAATTTGGGAGGCCAAGGAGGGAAGATTGCTTGGGCCCAGGAGTTTGACACCAGCCTGGGCAATAGCAAGACCCCATGTCTACAAAAAATAAAAAATTAGCTGGGCGTAGTGGTGTGCATCTGTAGTCCCAGCTACTGGGGAGGCTAAGGCAGAAGGATTACTCAAGCCCAGGAGTTTGAGGTTGCTGTGAGCTATGATGACAGCACTGCACTCTAGCCCCAGCAACAGAGTGAGACCCTGTCTCAAAAAAAAAAAGATCAAAGAAAAAGTTAATCTTTCTTTCTGCCTCTATCCCTTTGTCATTTTCTACTTCACGAAGAAAACTATTAATAGTTAAATGTGATCATTCCACATCTTTTTTCCCATACCAATATATTGCAAATCTATATACATAAACATGTAGTTTCTTTTTCTTCCTTCCCTCTTTCCTTCTCTCTCTCTCTCTCATCTTTCTCCTTTCTTTTAAATTAAAATGGCTTCACACTCAGTATCTGTTAACAATATATCATGGATATCTGTCTGGATCACTCTATATAGTTAACTCATTCTTATTAACAGCATAATTTCCTGTAATATGGATGTAGCCATAATTTATTCAAACGTTCCCCATAAATGGACAATCGGATTATGTCTGATTTTTGCCAATGAAAAGAATGGTGCAGTACACATCCTTGCTCCTATATCCTAAAGCTTTTAGTCTGTAGAACACATTCCCCCAAATTGGAGAGCAGGATCAAAGATTTATATGTTTTTAAAATTTTAAGAGATTCAGCCTGATTACTTTCCCCAAAGGTTGAGGCAATTCAAATTCCCCCCAGTAATGTGCCAGTTTTCCTACAATCTTAATAGCCCTCAATGTTATTTGTCTTAAATTTTTTGCCAGTCTCATGGGTAAATAGCTCATTTTAATTTGTTTTTCCTGACAGGCCAGGCAGAGCATCTTTTCATTTGTTTGTTGCCATTTGCATTTCCTCTCTGTGAACAGTCTGTTCAGACCCTTGACCCACTTTTCTATTGCATTGTCTGTCTTTTTCTAATTATTTGTGGGCATTCTTTGGAATTTTAACTCTCGGTGATAAGAGGTGCAGAGTTCTTTTCCTATTGCATTGTCTTTTGACTTTGTTTATAGTGCCTTTTGCTAAACAAAATTTTTTTATCTTTAAGTGGCTTTCTCTCTGTCAAGCTTTTCCTTCATGGTTTCTGAATCTCTAGTCTTTCTTAAAAAGTATTCTCGGCGGGTTGCGGTGACTCACGCCTGTAATCCTAGCACTCTGGGAGGCCGAGGCGGGCGGATTGTTTGAGCTCAGGAGTTCGCGACCAGCCTGAGCAAGAGTGAGACCCCGTCTCTACTAAAAAAATAGAAAGAAATTGGCTGGACAACTAAAAATATATAGAAAAAACTAGCCGGGCATGGTGGCGCATGCCTGTAGGCCCAGCTACTCGGGAGGCTGAGGCAGAAGGATCACTTGAGCCCAGGAGTTTGAGGTTGCTGTGAGCTAGGCCAACGCCACGGCACTCACTCTAGCCAGGGCAACAGAGTGAAACTCTGTCTCAAAAAAAAAAAAAATATTCTCTACCCTGAGGTTATTCAAATTCTACCTTTCCACCTCTTCTATTTTAATTCTTTTCATTAAAAGAATTTAGATCTTTAATCTGCCTGGAAATTATTGCTATATGTGGTATATTAGTGGGGTAATTAAAAACAAAAACTCTTTGGTGAATACAATAGACACACTGAAAAGTGCACAAGGTCTAGGTGGATTTTCACAAACTGAAAATTTGTATATTTACCCAGATCAAGAAACAAAATGTTCCCATTACCCCAAAAGTCCCTTTTGTGCCCTTCTAGTCACTATCTGCAAATACCACTATGCTGACTTCTAATATCTAAGCAGGTTGAGTATCCCTTGTCTGAAACACTTGGGAACAGAAGTGTTCTGGGTTTTAGATTTTTTCAGATTTTGGAATATTTGTATTAATTTTACAAATTGAGCATCCCAGATTTGAAAATCTGCAATCTGAAATGCTCCAATGAGCATTTCCTTTGAGTGTCATGTCGACACTTAAAACATTTAAAATTTTGGAGCAGGCCGGGCCCGGTGGCTCACGCCTATAATCCTAGCTCTCTGGGAGGCTGAGGCGGGCGGATTGTTTGAGCTTAGGAGTTCGAAACCAGCCTGAGCAAGAGCGAGACCCCGTCTCTACTAAAAATAGAAAGAAATTAATTGGACAACTAAGAATATATAGAAAAAATTAGCCGGGCATGGTGGCGCCTGCCTGTAGTCCCAGCTACTCGGGAGGCTGAGGCAGGAGGATTGCTTGAGCCCAGGAGTTTGAGGTTGCTGTGAGCTCGGATGACGCCATGGCACTCTAGCCCGGGCAACACAGTGAGACTGTGTCTCAAAAAAAAAAAAAAAAAAAACAATTTGGAGCATTTCAGATTTTGGATTTTCAGATTTGAGATGCTCAACCTGGAGTAGTTTTCTGGGAGAATCATTTTATTTTTGTGCAGATGGCTAATTAAATATGCCAACACCATTTATTGGATCAGCCACTGACTTAAATCCTTCCTTTAATCATTGGTACTTCTAAGGAGAAAATACATTTCTGGCGGCAGGGGATGGATTGCAATAACAAACCTCTAAAAAAGCGGCCCCTTGCGTTCCAGACCCCAGCTCCCCTGTAGCTGAAGCTCTGCTGGTTGGTAATGGGTTTTCTCCACATGCCTTGTGTGTGTCTCAATAGTCAGAAAAGCACTGATCGTACTCGCTCACTCAGAGAGGACGTCCTTCAACTATGCTATGAAGGAGGCTGCTGTAGGGACTTTGAAGAGGAAAGGATGGGAGGTGGCCGAGTCGGACCTCTATGCCATGAACTTCAATCCCATCATTTCCAGAAAGGACATCACAGGTGGGATCCCTACCTCCTCCCTTTAATTAGTTCTTTGTGGATCTCCTTGCCTGTGAGTTCTCTGGCCCAGCCTTGGCCCCTCTGACCTCAGCCTCTTTTTTCCCTCTCTGCAGGTAAACTGAAGGACCCTGAGAACTTTCAGTATCCTGTGGAGTCTGTTCTAGCTTATAAAGAAGGCCGTCTGAGCCCGGATATTGTGGCTGAACAAAAGAAGCTGGAAGCTGCAGACCTTGTGATATTTCAGGTATGGTAGGACATCAGAAGGGGTGTCAGGGACACTTGAGTTCCTTATTGTCCTAGACCTGTCACCTAATTAGCTATGGGATCTTAGAACAATCACCACTTGGCTTTATTCTTTGTAAATAAGGGTGATTACTTCAAAGGTGCAGAATTACACAGCTTTACAGATGTCGTGAGTCTGGCAGTATTACTCTTTACATGTATGAATGTAACTGCAAAGATGATATATAAGCCTTAGCTTGTTTTCCCCCATGTGCCTAATCTTCCCTCCAGTTAGTGAATCCTGGTGGTCTGACTCTTTCAAAATTTGCACTTCTCCCCCTTTCTCCATAAGAATTCCAGTTTGTGGAGTGATGCATGAGACATTGATTTTTCTGTTGAAGGGGGCTTTGTTTTTTGGTTTTTGTGAGACAGGGTCTTGTTCTGTTGCCCGGGCTAGTGTGTGGTGGTGTTATCATTAGCTCACAGCAACCTCAAACTCCCAGGCTCAAGCCATCCTCCTGTCTCAGCCTCCTAAGTAGCTGGTACTACAGGTGTGCACTACCACACTTAGCTAATTTTTATATTTTTTGGAGAGACAGGGTCATGCTACGTTGCTCAGGCTGGTCTCAAATTCCTGGCCTCAAGAGATCCTCCCATCTTGGCCTCCCAGAGTGCTAGGATTACAGGAATGAGCCACCACACCAAGCCTTGAAGGGGCTTTGAAACCCTGTTGAATGTATTTTGGCAGCAAACCATGGCCTTTCTTCTCTGGAAAAGCTGCTTTACTGTTTAGCAGACAACACTGGAATTGTGTGGGCATCTTGTTAGTCATGTTTTTTATAAATGCCAGACTATACTCAATGATTTTGCTTTTACCAATTCCAACCAGCCTTTTGATATTGAACATGGTATGTATATGACACTGGAAATTCCACAAGGAGGGTGGTACAAGCTGTGGTTTTTGCAATTATTCAATCAGCTGCAAAGCATCCAATCCTTAAAGTCCTTTATTCTATTGTCAGACCTGTTGCTATGAAGTGAAGCCACATGCCATTAGCCAGTGCCCCAAAGGATGCCTTTTTTTTTAAAGACAGGGTCTTCCTCTGTCACCAGGGCTGGAGTGTAGTGGCGTCATCATAGCTTACTGCAACTTCAAACTCCTGGGTTCAAGCAGTCTTCCTGCCTCAGCCTCCCAAGTAGCTGGGACTACAGCTGTGCACCACCACGCCTGGTTAACTTTTTTATTTTTTGTAGACATGGGGTCTTGCTATGTTGCTTAGGCTGGTCTGGAACTCCTGGCTTCAAGCCATCCTCTTGCCTTCTCCTTCCAAAGTGCCAGGATTACAGGCGTGAGCCACTGCATCCAGCCTACTTATCCCCTTTTCTGTAGGTCTAGGTATATTCGTGCCTTTCAAATATTGGAGAAAGCTATTAAGTCTTAAAAATTCCTTCCTCTAGTTTTCTTCCTCTGGACACATTCCACTTGTCATATCTTTTAAATCATGAATCGAGGATAAAAAGAAATACTGGTATAGTTCTTACTCTGCTTCTATCAGGACAAGAGGTCAAACAAGACTTTCTCATGGGAATTCCCTGATAAACCTTAGTAACATTGTTTGCATTTTTGAGTGGTTTCGTTTATTCTAAATGATAGGATTTCACATCTGTGACCACAAGGGACATTTTTTTTTTTTTTTTTGAGACAGAGTCTCACTCTGTTGCCCTGGCTGGAGTGCTGCGGCATCAGCCTAGCTCACAGCAACCTCAAACTCCTGGGCTCAAGCGATCCTACTGCCTCAGCCTCCCAAGTAGCTGGGACTACAGGCATGCGCCACCATGCCTGGCTAATTTCTTCTATATATATTTTTAGCTGTCCAATTAATTTCTTTCTATTTTTGGTAGAGACGGGATCTCGCTCTTGCTCAGGCTAGTCTCGAACTCCTGAGCTCAAACGATCCACCCGCCTCGGCCTCCCAGAGTGCTAGGATTATAGGCGTGAGCCACCGCGCCTGGCTGGGACAGTCATATTTTTTGATACCACACCTATTAAGCAAGCTCTTGGGAAAATGTTGATTTGGGCACCACACACTGAAGCAGACCTTGTCTGCGATCCTTGCTATTTAGACTTCACTGCCAAATGTGATTTCATACAAACAAATCTTATCTGCATGTGCCTTTATTCAGACCCACCTAATATGTATATTTTTAGGCAGAAACAGAGGTGTTGAGTTTGTTGACCAAGGACAATAATTTTCTCTTTTCTTAAATATGCTAACTCCTCCAGAAGAAATGAAACCGGCCTGAGGAAAGGTTCCCCCACAGTGAGCAGCAGCTAAGCACCTTGAGCTGCCTTCTGTGCTGGGGGTGTCCCTGATCTGACCTCTTTGATGTCTTCTGTCACACAGTTCCCACTGCAATGGTTTGGAGTCCCTGCCATTCTGAAAGGCTGGTTTGAGCGAGTGCTGATAGCGGAGTTTGCATACACATATGCTGCCATGTATGACAAGGGACCTTTCCGGGTAGGTGAATGGCTTTGAGTTTCCTAACAGCTGGCTTGTGGGTAGAGTCTTCCCTGACGCAGAGTTTTGAGCACAGTTAGATACTAAGCTCAGGGTCCAGGCCCTTTGGGAGAGATGTATGATAAAGTTTTCACAGATGAAATGGCGTGACGTTTGGGATTTGTTTTAAAATACTCCAGAAAAAAAGGGGGTCTGGGCATTGGATAGAACTAGAATGGCAAAATATTGAGAGGTGAAGCTGGGTGACAGATGCATTGTTGTATTATTTTCTCTTTTATGTACGTTGGAAATTTTCCATAATAAAAATAAAGTCTGTCTTCATTTTTTGGAGACCCAAATAACTGCACAAGAAACACTTTGAGACCTTCTAGATTAAAGGTCTTGTCGTACTCCGTGCCTAAACACATGGGGAGACAGATAAAAAGGACGAATAACTCCACCAGGGGAGCTGGCAGCCAGCACTGATTTTGGCTATTGTGACAGCCTTGCCCTGACTGGCCATATGCAGAAGTATGGAATCCTTGGCTGCCCCAGCTACCTGTCTGTGGACCATCTAGGCTTGTACTTCTGCAGAGTCATAGTGTGTAGCTCAGAGGAGCCAAGGTATGAAATAATATAAGCAGCAAATAGGGTGGACTTGTGTGTTCTTTTCCCTGGGGCTGTTTCATTAACTTCTTGTCACCAACGGGATGTTGTTTTTTTTCTTTTCTTTTACAGAATAAAAAGACACTGCTTTCCATTACCACTGGTGGCAGTGGCTCCATGTACTCTCTGCAGGGTGTCCATGGGGACATGAATATCATTCTCTGGCCAATTCAGGTACCTCATTTTCAATGAACCTCCAGGGGAATTCATTAATTGAGCTTTTTATGGGGTCCAAAACCTCAAGAAAGCGCTGAAAACAGGTCCGAGGCGTGAAGATGAAAGCACAGTCATGATTCAGAACTATGGGGAGCTTCTTTTAGGAACGTGCTTGTCTTCCCAGGCTTCTGTGCTTATGGAATACACCCACATGTGCGCACGTTCACACACCATTCTCTCTAACCAAGCACTAGTGTGGTTGACCCTCCGTTTGTACAGCCACAGGTCCTGGTTCTCTCCAGATGGCTGACATGTCCTCTCTCCAATCTTCCTGTCCTTCTCCAAGTTGCTGCTACAGTCTCACACACTATTAAAGCCTAAGACAGTTTAAGAAATTATTTAGTCCAGCCATTTTAGAGATCAACAAAACTGCAGCTGAGATGGGCTTTTTGGTGGTCACTGGACTCTCAGGAGAATCTATCTATCTATTTATTTATTTATTTATTTTGAGACAGAGTCTCACTGTTGCCCAGGCTAGAATGCTATAACGTCAACCTACTCACAGCAACCCCAAACTCCTGGGCTCAAGCAATCCTTTTGCCTCAGCCTCCCGAGTAGCTGGGACTACAGGCATGTGCCACCATGCCTGGCTAATTTTTCTATATATATTTTTAGTTGTCCAGCTAATTTCTTTCTATTTTTAGTAGAGACGGGGTCTCGCTCTTGCTCAGGCTGGTCTCGAACTCCCAAGCTCAAACGATCCACCCACCTCGACCTCCCAGAATGCTAGGATTACAGGTGTGAGTCACCGCGCCTGGCCAGGAGAATCTGTAGAATCTCTTTTAAGGAAGGGTGTTGGAGAGAAGAGCAAATGAGGTGGCCGCCTATAAGAGTCACACATCACGCTCATCTAGTTATACGGACAAGTGGAGAAATGCCCATATCCGTGCCTTGGCAAAAGTCAGCTACCAAGAAGCTGAAATTCTCCCTAATGTAATATTAATAGAACTTTCACACACTCTTGGCAGAGGATTCAGGTTGGCACAGCTTCAAGGTTTAATTCATTTAAAGGAGAGCACAGCTGAATAGGCTAAAATAGGTAACAGCTAGGTAGAGAGGGCAGAAGGTGAGAGAATATAGCTATGAACTGTTTCTCCAGGGTACTTCAGGCTTCCTTATTGGAGTGTCTTACTGGGAAGCCCAGACCGACTTGTTGTTTACAGTACAAACTGTGTAGGACTGGATCTGTGACTTCACTCTGTGCTTATGTATCCCCAGAGTGGCATTCTGCATTTCTGTGGCTTCCAAGTCTTAGAACCTCAGCTGACATACAGCATTGGACACACTCCAGCGGATGCCCGAATTCAGATCCTGGAAGGATGGAAGAAACGTCTGGAGAATATTTGGGATGAGACACCACTGTATTTTGCTCCAAGCAGCCTTTTTGACCTAAACTTCCAGGCAGGGTTCTTAATGAAAAAAGAGGTACAGGATGAACAGAAAAACAAGAAATTTGGCCTTTCTGTGGGCCATCACTTGGGCAAGTCCATCCCAACTGACAACCAGATCAAAGCTAGAAAATAAAATTCGCAAGATTTGATTTTCTTCTAACATGTAGTCAAATCTGGGTGTCTTTTTAGGCTTCCCTGACTTGCTTTAGCTTTTAAGATTTGGATTTTTCTTTTTCCACAAGGAATGAATAGGAGAGGGAATAGACTGTATTCATACATTTTTGGGTGTTTTTATTATTAAACATAACTGATTCTTATGATTGCTGTCATGGCATGTAACCAAAATCTGGCTTGGGCTCAAGAGGCTACTTAGGGAAAGGTGTAGAAAGATGCTGGAATATATTCTTTAAGGGTATCTACACAATTTAATTCCTCTTCTTAGGGCTAAATTTTGAGGTCAAAATCTCGCTAGATAGGATTCAACTCTCCAGTGATCTGTTTCTTTTAATTAACTCTCTGTAGTTTATGGCAAGAGGGAATTGCTCAGAGAAAGAAATGACTGAATCTATCTGACCTAAGGGACTTGTTTAGTAGTTAGTAATCTAATGCTTGTTTATGGTACATATTGGTTTCAATTACTACACAGTTACTAACATGCTTAATATGAGTATTATTCTTCCTTCAACTTTTCTTGTTTGTGTACAGTACACAGATACCTTGAAAGGAATAGCTAATAAGTCTTTTCTTTACCTCAATCTTCTACTTTAATGTTTTCAGAAATAAACAAATACATCCACACCCCACATCTGCTATCCTGAGTGAATTCGAGAAAGGAAATAGTACCTTCAATACTGAAAAATAACCTTCCACAAAAAAATACTTTATTTCTGATCTATACAAACTTCTGGAAGGTTATTTTCTGTATCATTGCTGGACTGATGACTTTCAAGGATGTGTTTTAGTCCCATGACATTTGGGATATAATTGTAAATCTAGAGTTTTATTAACTTTGGTGAACAATTTTGGCATGATACTCTAATTTCTATTTAAATTCTTTAAGTGCATCTCTTCCCACTGTTGGCATAATTCAAGTAGAATATGATAAAAGACTGCCCTCTTGTGGCGCAGTGAAAGAAAGAGAAATGATGCAAAACAAGGTTGCCTGAAAAATGGGAAACAGCCCCTTACCTGCGGAGGGAATGATGGCATCAGGCCGGGTTGGAGAACTGCATTTACCAGATGCCAGTAGCAGTGGATATTTTCACTCGATGATATCCACAATAGCAGACGGCTGGCTTTTCGGTTTGAAAATATTTTCCATGGCCTTCATCTTCACTGCAATTTTGTATAAAATTTCTTAAAGTTCCAAATTAAATAAAATTCATTTCTACAAACTCCCACCCTCATTGGTATCAGTGAAGCAAATGATAGAGGCATTCAGGCAAAAATGGGATCTAGTAGAAGATGGGATCAGAGGATTCAATAATAAATTACGGCCAGAAGCCCACAAAATGATACGGCTTGAGAGCTCACCCAACAGGGGTGCTTTCTACCTAATGGCAGTGGAACAACCTATTCAGATCTCAAGGAATTTAAGAGACATTTAAAAGAGAGCCAGGAAAGAGTGGTGTAGAAATCAAGAAAAACAGGCCGGCCATGGTGGCTCAGGCCTGTAATCCTAGCACTCTGGGAGGCCAAGGCGGGTGGATTGCTCAAGGTCAGGAGTTCGAGACCAGCAAGAGCGAGACCCCCATCTCTACTAAAAATAGAAAGAAATTATTTGGACAACTAAAAATCTATATAGAAAAAAAAAAATTAGCCGGGCATGGTGGCTCATATCTGTAGTCCCAGCTGCTCGGGAGGCTGAGGTAGTAGGAT